CTGCGTTGCAGTTAATTTTGAAAATTCCTTTGATAAACCTTGTTTTTCAGGTGGATAATATGGAATGTCAGGTCGATAAGCATCAGCACTTCAGACATCTCCTCCTTTTTCGCATTCAACAGAGGTATCAGTACCATTCTTGAAGCGTCTGAACCAATTTTGGGCTGTTTTGAGAGAGGGGCATCTTCTCCGTACACTTCGCGAATTTCCCGAGCAGCATCAGCAGCTCTGATACCTCTGTTGAATGCGAAAAGGAGGAGATGTCTGAAGTGCTGATGCTTATCGACCTGACATTCCATATTATCCACCTGAAAAAACAGGTTTATTCAAATGAATTTTTAAAATACTGCAACGCAGTGTTATAGAGCACGAAATTGGCTATAAGAACATATAGAACACATTAGCGAAATATTCAAATGTTTTATTCTATAAAATTCGCTGATGAAACGGAACGCTAGTCTCAACGACTTCGCGTATCCGTTAGTGGATGGTGACCTGCGACTTAACAGAAAGCTAAATCGCCTCTGAGAGCAGAAGTTTCTACAGTGGTTTATAGAGCATGAAATTTGCTATCAGAACATGCAAAACATATCAGCGAAACATTCAAATATTAGTATAAAACTTCAGGTGGAAGCAGAACGTTGAGGCTGACCCCCAATATCGGCGAGGTGAAGGTTGGTAACTTCAAAATTCTTGAAATTCGTTCCAAAGCGTCCTAGTGAGATTCCCTTGCTGGAACTTCTAGCTCGACCTTTTCCAAATGTATGGAGCAGCTTAAGCGATTTTAGCACTTCGACTATACGTAAATAGAGGCAGTTGTCGAAGGTGCTAATTTTCGCCGACTTCGCTTTCAACTTCAACGACTAAAAAATCCACAAAAATTATTCCCTCAACCGAAGCCGTTTTGATATTCTAAAACTACGTGAAGTTTCCTATCAGATGATATCAAGCTTGCTAGCAAAACATTTCATCTTTGGAACGAAATTTCCGGTTGAAAAAAAACGAAAGTACTTATGTGCCAACCCAATATATGCACTTTGGGCACACGCTAAACAGAAAAGTGAAGTTGCACAAAAATCTACTCGTCATGAAAGAGATTAAAGTGTATCTCTAAACATATCCTATTGCTAAGAAACAGATATTAAGTGCTGCGTTCATACTTTGCGGCAGCGTTCCGAGATTCAGCGTTTTGAATGTCCACTGGATCATTGGTTCCTTCGAGCGACGAGGAAAGCATAAGTATCGATTATCGTGCAAGCGCTGGTGGACGCTCGAAGCGCGGTCGCAAAGCATGAACACTCTCTTGTATCCAATGAAGAAAAATTTCTCACATAGTTGCATAAAAAGAGGCCAGTCGACCGAGCTCTTTTTCTATTTGTACAGGAAAAAACAACCCCAACCTTCCCAACAACATCACATGAGTCACTAATGCTCTCAAAACGGGAAAATGATCTCTACAAACCGAGCAGAAGCCTATGATTACCAGCTAGTAGCATTACACGGGATCGCGAGACTCACCGTACCGTTTTAGTACGAAAGTTTTTGAGTAAAATCCTATTATAGGAGTCTCCTGGCAGCGTGGACCTTATGTCACGCCCATGTCAAAACTCAAAAAAACTATTCTGTTCTGCTAATCATAAAGGTAACCACTCTCTTAACCTCAGCTTCACCTTATTTGAATCAGCGGACAAAAAAGATGACTGAAGATCACTAATTAATTTTACTCTTCGTCTTGGCACTATCGGAGTAACTCCTTGTCAACTTAGCCATAATATAACAGTTAACAATAAGGAACAATATTGATGCCACCCATACGAATTCAAGCGTACGCCACTTGCGGAACTCATACAGATAGGCAAAGAACAACCAAATTCCTTGACTGACGAACCACATTCCAATCAACTGCACTGCTTCCTTCACAGTCATCTGAAAAAGCTTTCAACCTAACATCCAGTACTGACATCACTTTGTGGAATACTGTCATCAGAGCTGTAATGAGCACAAATGCAGTCGACTTCGGTACGTGAAAGCACGAAAAGAGCGGAACTATAAAAAAGACAACGAAAAAAAAGAAAAAGAAACATGTCCTGAGAACACAGGAACGTATAATAACAATGGTGAATTCACTGTGACCCGGAATTCATCCAAATGATTCAAAAGGTGATAAGAACGTGGCTCCCAAACAGCATAGATTAGTCGCGTAGTAAATGCATGAATAGCCAGCCTCCGAATAGGAATGTGCACGAACATCCCATCCCCTACGATCACCTTACAAGGAAGCCGTCCTCATCCACATAAGGTAGGCAGGCCAGCAGGCGGAGGACAAGGTTGTGCCACTATCTTAAAGTGAAACTGTTCAAAAAAGGGCGCTAGGAGCTAGTGACGGTAGGGTGCCTCCCACCCGAACCAAGAAGTCCCGCCCACTTTAAGATCACGATTAATTGGGGAAATGACAAATTTATAATGGCCAAAGCGCCGCGATGGGGAGAATATTTACCCCTCAATCCCCAACAATTCAAAATCAGGTCAAGTTTTTTTAGCGACTTTTTTCTCCAACAGCGGATTCAGCTAAAAATTTTGTCTTTGGAGGTGGTCTGAACTATCACAACCGCTTAATTCCAAACTGCCTAGAATACGCGCTACGCTACACGCGTCGTGGTTCAAATAGGCACGTGGTGCAGTCCCCTGTACGCCGCCGTTTTGACCGAAGCGAATGTGATATTCAGGGCTACGAAGTCGACCTACCGTTCAGGGCGAGTTTTTAGCGAATCTGGCGACTTAGTATATTTTGACGCTGGCGCCTATGGTGCGGACGTTAAGCTGCTTCAGGCCTAGCGAATGTGGCATTCGTGTTGAAGATGTCAGACTACCCTTGGACACAGTTTCGTTCAAATCCCCCTTCGGAGAAAAAACTCAGCAAACACTGCCCTGACTTTGGAAGAATGGGGCAGCAAAGGGTGAATAGTGCTGGAAAAGGAGCTGACATAATCCCTACATCACCAAACCAAAAACACATCCGAACACATCCATGTTGACATAATGCTCGGGAGGAAGCTATCTTGTTGGGATCTCTTTGGATCTCTTTTCAAGTTTTTCTGCATAGACGCCATATTACGGTCGCTGCCTTCATGGTAATCAAAGGCAAGAGCTCCGATAACTTTTCTAATTTCACGCTGAATACCGAATGCACGTTCTTCCCCAGGGAGTCCTGTGGAATAGGAAAAAACGAAAGGGATGGGAAAGCAGAAATATAGATGAAATTGAACAAATCGATGGTAATTTCGTTTGTCATTTGAAATGACGGTTTTAACAACATTCTAGAGAGATCGTTTGGAAAGCATGAGGAAACGTCCACAAAACGCCTCAACGTTACCTTGAATCTGTTGGTGATTAGTGGAAGGAGGCAAATGTACCATACAAAGTACTGACTCGTACATACTTTGTTAAATGTTACAAAAGCGAATGTGCACATAAACCAGCAAAATGGGAGGTCATGGTGATACCTGAAGACAACAAAGATGATCGAGGAATTCCAAGAGAAATGCAAAGCAAGAAAAAAATTACTTGAATGAGAAGTATAAAACGAGACCCATCTGTGGAACAAATGCTGAGAATCCAACTAATTTCGAAAGGAACTCGTCATTACCGATCAAACGAAGTACCTACAAAACATTTTCCTAAACGGATGAACACCAACTTTAAAATCTTGATCGGAAACAAAACTCACGTAGAAGTATGGCGAGAAATTATGTGCAATATCTCGCCTTTTGATATGATACAGAAGGAACTCTTCCAAGAACAGATCACCATAGATCAAGTAGAAAAACGCAACAATCAACCCAAAACAGCCCAAACTGATCTGAATAACAACTTCCATGAGTTTTATTAAATAAAAACACAAGGCCGTCTACTATTAGAAAAGCGGAACTAATGCAGCCCATTGGTAATATGGCGCTATATGACTTGTAAAGTACCCAAAGACACATGTTTCATTCTTCTCCAGAGACAAACTACGCGACTGAATATTGTGGATAGCGACGTTCACTTACAAGTCTATAAACGTTGTTTAGGGGAAAAAAGCAAAATAACCCATGGAGAACACGACAAGAGGAGACCAATCAGCCTTTCCGGATAAGTCCTCCGAATCCGCTCCTAATACGTCGGCAAAGCGATATCTTGCCGTTTCCGGCTCATAAATCGTTTCTTGACGTCATCCACTGGTTATACCATCCGACAGTGAAAAAAAACGGCAAACACGGCCTTAAAAGTGAACTCGCTACAGAAAATAGCCTTCAAGTCTTGGTGTGCGGTACAACTAGGGAGGCGTCAGAACTGGCGCTCATGAGGGGCACAGCCCTATCGTTACTTACTGTGAAGCCGCGAAAAAAGGGTAATGTTAGAGAATGAGGGCCAGACTACTTGTACAAGGAAGGATTCCTACGGATTGCTCGAGCGCGGGGATGTCTTTAATGCACGAGAAGGGCCGTTCGTATTGGTGGGGGCACGGAATGGAGCGCAGTTGAGCTTGTATAAGCTCCCTTGAAGAGACACGTAAATTGCTGTGACCAAAGCTCAATCCTACAACTTCGCAGCTTTACAGTAGTTTACACGTACCACTTTTTATTAGTTCATGTTGAGAACAGTTACTCAAGATGACCTAACAAAAGGGAGTGAGGAAGTGCGAAGTTCCCCTCCAAGCAGTGCCTATTCTGTCAACAGGAGATTTCAGCAGCGTCAAGGCACGCACCTATACTTAGCAAATATGGACAATTCGTGATTAGAGAGAACTGAAGATATGGAGGGCACCAAGAGAAAAGGATGCGTGTCGATCTGACGAAGCAATGATTTTCAAGGGTGCATATGGAAGGAATCCGATGGGAACCGATTGAATTCCGTGTACTACGTGAGCAGCTTTCGAGAGGTATGCAAATTGCATGATTCAGAGGGATAAAAAAGGCATTCGAAGAGCTTGGAGTCAACAGAACTCGATCTGATGTTTTGCTTGGAGTCCCAAGTTCTCCTCATTCACATACTGAACCATTTGGAGTTCGTGAAAACATCCAAGAAGGAAAACCTAAATCACGCTCTGACTTCCTTTCTGAAGGAAAACGTGCCGGGAACCAAAATATATGTGGTATACCTATTTGTTGATAACTCGCACTCGCTAATTCCGAGCGGGAATGAAAGAGTTACATCAACTATCCCTCTATGTAACGTCATTATTTCGTTCAACCCCAAACCCACTGAAGTTGCAGGGGAGGGGGAGGCCAAAATATACGCTGGTTTACCTTGAGCAAACGTCACACTTTCGCGGACGCTCGACGACGCGCTACAAAGGATGATGGAAGGAATCCGATGGGAACCGATTAACTTCGTCGCGAACATTTTCGGAGGACGCATGATCAGGAAAAAAAAGCTCGATTCGAAAGCTTGGAGTCAACAGAACTCGATCTAACGTTTTGCTTGGAGTCCCAAGTTCTCCTCATCCAGCAGTAACGCGCTCCAATGCTATATAGAACGCAGCTGCATGCAGCGATCAATCGGCGCCGGTCAACTGTGTTGCAGAGAGTATGGGGGAATAAGAGGCTGCCGCTGTCCAATCACGCAGTCTGGTGTCGGTCGGTCGGCACTGGCCGCTAGTGCTTTGGGAAAGAACAGAATAGTAGAAGGTATGCAGATGGTAGGAGCTGATTGTTCGAAACGCAAGCGGCCGGCCGATTGATTTCGGACTGCGACTGCGCTCTTGTCCATCGGAGTGTACCGCTGCTGCAACTGTAGCGCTCGACGCGTGTCGATGCGCCTCATCGCGAAGTCTGAACGCTGCCTAAGAGAGGGGCGATACAAATCATCTGTGAAGCGTTTTTTTCAGTTGATTTGCTTTCTACGGAGACAAAAAATTACTGGTACCGTAAGTCTTACCAAAGCGAATGCGAATCCTTTGCAGTTCATTAGAAGCTTCTTCATGTCAGCAAATATACAGGGACCGGCGGAAAACTGACATAAATGGAGGAATATTGACGGAAGATATATCACTGGATAGATTTTCAGATGAACCGCTAATGCACCATGCACAACAGCAGCGGCAACCCACTAAATCATAGCACTATAACATTTGACCTCTGAGAGGTAAAAACAAGGAAAAGAAGACGAACACGTGAATAGAGCCATTTTCAACAATTATGACAACTGAAACAAAACTCGTCATCGAACTTACCATCTCCTTGTTGAGAAGATAAAGGGTAAATAGCACAGCAGCGCAGACTAGCACATCAGCACTTCCCCTGCAATAGGTCACTTATAGCAGGTGTAGCTCAAAATAAAGGCAGAGATCATAAGAGAAAGCTATAGAAGTACTGCTTTCAATGTAGCAAACCTTGCTGAAATTATCGCAGTTAGCGGGTTGGCTAGCCAGAAAATCACCACTGATTGAACGATCTTATCCTCTGACATCACATCCTCTCCTGTTTCATTGCGTACATGACTGAAACTTTCTAGATTAACATGTTGCGATATTCCTCGAAACCGGTCTTCAAAAGGAAAAAAAGAACTTACTCACCCCCTCCTCTTGTGCCCGGTTTCAGCATGCGACGACAACATTTGAAAGTAAAACCATCCAACGATGACGTCAAATATACAAAATAGGTATTTTCCTAAAAAATTTGTTGGCGTACCAATATTCGCACCATACTTGCCATATTCAAAGCTGAGGAGCTCACCGAAATCTTTGTATGTATTTACCGGCAGTAGAATCCACGCTAGAGCTGGCGTGTACCTGAATGAAGGTATAAAATCAGCAAAAATCTGACCTAATCCAAAAATCAGGCTCCCTTTTCTCTGCGGTACGCTCTAGGGATTTGTTCAGAAGCGAAGCTGGTCCGCCACACTTTTTCAGGTATCAAGGCGCCGATGTACTACGCTCGCATTCCCGCCTCAAAACCGCTTCCACACTTTTCGGATCAAGCGATTCAGCCACGCTGCTGCCACTGACCGCGGCTCACCGCAGTGGACTGCAGCGAAGTTCGAAATAAGCTGTATCGTAATCCAGGGCACGTCACCGTTGCGATGAACACAACGGGGGGTCGTACTTGAGAGCGAGGGAGTGGGGTGGATCGTATCTGGTCTAAGAAAAAATTTTTTTGGTAGTTAATTTATCTTGTTTCACGACGGCTATAAGGAGGAGGGTCGTATTTGGCCGTTGTTGGGAGAGGGACTGCCAAAGATCTATACAACTACTATTTCCGATAGTTGAAAATGATAGTTAAATCCTGACGACCTCCCCCACCCCTCGACAGCAAAATTTTGGGGGAAAACTAGAATTTCGGAAAAACTAGTAGGAGGTTAGGGGAAAGCTGAGAATCTTTCTCACAGTGGGTATATACCCTCCCCGCTCGACGGAAAATTCTTGGCTGAAAAACTGGAAATTTTTCGGGAAAAAATGGTAGGAAGTTGGGAAAATCTAGGAAAGTGGTAGGTAGCATGGGGAGGGGTCGTATTTGAGGATAGAATCAGGGGGGTCGTATTTTCCAGGAAATGATCACAACGCGCTGGCGTGCCCTGATCATAACTGCGACAGAATAGGCAATTGCGCGATTCAAAGATTAGCGATGAAGCGATCACATTCACCAGTCTCAAACCGCCGGCAGATGAATAGCTTGAGTATGAATGCAGTAAAAAAACCGAAATTGTTTTCACTGCAGCAGCTACTGGAAAAGCCGCATACGTACCCTGAGAGAATGGAAAATCGAAGAAGATTGTATCGACTGACTCCATCCAACTGGAATACGGAAATCGGGTGATACTTTGAAGCGTACGAGATATAGGTATGTGTCCAGTTTTTTTTTTCGCGAAATTTCCGAAATTCGCAAATTCCCTTATTCCGAGATGCTCCGATTCTCTAATGTTACAAGACAGCTCGCGACCCAGCAATACCTAATAAACAGAATCTGACCATGAGAGGAGTTAGTGCCCACCTGTAAGTCTCCTTTTCAAAAGGACTTCGTCCTGCTGCAACATGCTTAGCAGCATCGCTGTAAACGCTGTAGTCGATGTCAGTGAAATTAACCTGGAGTATACACCAGTAAAAAATAACCAGAAGTGACTCACATGAAACATATAATCATGGATATTTGAATACAGCACTAATATGAAACGAGCAGCAAGTGCTACGAACAAGATCTGAAATGGGAGGCATACACTACATCCGATCACGAATCTCGTCTGTTCATCCGTACCCGTTCTCGAGTCCACGGCTGAGGCGTCCTCGATGTAGCAGGGCACATCTAGGCATGTGCTGGTCTTGAAGGGTAACCTTGAAAACCAGGTTATGAAAGAATGTTTTTGAATCGTGCTACGACACATTGAAACCAAGCATAACGAACATCTTGGAGCAAGAACGGCGACTGCAATACGGAATAATTAAGCTAATTAATATTAAGCAGCGCTTGAGCAGTGATCCTTACTTGAGAAAAGGCACTACACTGAATCTTGGATATTTTGCTGAATAGACGAGCACTTTTAGAAGAAAACGGCTTCCATAAAAGCAAGCAAGCGCCCCGACTCTGGCACAGCACAGGAAAATGAGGATTCCTTGTGAAGTCTATTGGGGACAACAGCCCTCGCCTACGTTATTTTTTATTCTGCGAAAATGCACCGCGGACAGCTCCAATTTACTCTGTCAGAAACATCGCCAGGAAAACAGCGCAGGGCAGATCCCTAAGGACAATACGAGGATAACCTCTCAATTATCAAGGTCAATTGAGCAGTTTCTGTCTAGTAATGAGAGGAAAGAGGACAGAAGTAGACCTGTATGGTCAAAGCAAATAAACTAGACCAAAATGTTAGCTTATTCTGTTTATATTGCTATGCCACTCGAGGTTTTTAGGTGGAAATCTTTATTTTACGGCCTAACGTTTCGACTTGGTCGTCTTCTTCAGAGGCCTAAACGCGTTTCGAGGTTAGGAAATGAACACTACCTTACTAAGCGCCCAACCAACCCTAGCAGTTCCGACCAACACCAGTGTTCCACTGGCGTGTTTGGACACTCACCTGAAAGCCCAACAACACGAAGAATGCACTCACTAATTCCACCGTATATCCCGCCGTCACATGCGGGGGCCTAGTACGCTCCGGGCGCTCGCTCTATGGCGTCTCCTTGACACGTCTAAAAGCGCAGGAACGCAAGTATGCTACTTTAGAGCTCGCAATACGGTATGTATGGCAGAAGGTCATTTGTCACTGACGGACACTCATCTCGGCTGTTCATCCTAGGATTTCTGACTGAAATCCAAAACGCCTCTAACGCCTTCCTTGCCGAAATTTCCGTCTCCTGCGCCAATATCGTACACTTGATTTCAAAGTTGTTGCCGTCATGCTTCCTCAGATTTATGCTTGCCAAGCGCTGGTGTTCGTGAAATGGATAGCAATTTAACAGAGTAAATAAAAGATTCGGCCGAAGGTTAACAACAAGAGAGAACCTGGCGAATATTCAAAATATTAGCATCCATAAAATGAAAATGGTCGTCTATGGTGGCCTATCACCTTTCACTGCCTTGAGTCCCATGTTTTACCGGGAATTCCGCTTTGCCAAACCATTAAATGGATCCACTGCAGCAGGCAGTGACAAAGGCCGCTTTCCATTTGTCGGCTGCCTCCTCCTTCCTTCTCGCCTCGGGTATCCGCTCTAGCGAGAAACTCATAAAGACACTTACGTCCCCAATGAGATTGACAAGCGAACCGCATTTGCAATGCAAGGAGCTTATCAGGACAAACCCAAGCCAGAACCCATTGGGTTAAGACGGTATTGGATTGCCCGTCTACCCGAAACCTGTCTCATTCCAGGTTCCTTCTCCTATAGCCCTCAAAGGCATCTACAGGAATGAGGATCTACGATACCCTGGTCTAGCTCGCTATTTTTTTTTTCGGGGGGGGAAGAAGTAGCTCAAGAAGTTGAAATTCGTTAACTGCATATGAATGCAAGAAATTTGTTCAGACGCGGCCGTATCGGCCTTGTGGAAGCATTTTGCAGGTTACAGTCGGCCACTATCGACGTCTCCTATACCTATAACACCTAAAACTCTTAAAGCTGCGCATAGCAGGCGCTCCCAACACACTGGACCAATCAGCTCACCATGTGTGGATTGTAATTAGCACGAATTAGTGAAAAGAACCCCACACAAGCCGAACAGCTGTCAAAAAGGCTTTTTGCTCAACCTGGGACCAGGTGATGGAACTTCGCCAGTCTGATGGTGACCGTGGCCAAGTAGCATCACCGCTAAGAAGGATGAGCAAATCCAAACAACGTTCCTACGACAAACAACACTGAATAGTAATATGCCTACTAAGAGAAAAACCAGCAGAACGTCTCAAGGCTAAGGGAGAAGTCTCTGGGCTAAGGGGCATAATCATGTCGACTGCGCGCTTATTAGATTACCCTATTTTGCTTGTTTGAGGAATATTCTGCTTCACAAAATCGATATCTACTAGAAAGAGCTCAATTTGCTCTCATTTGAGGCTTCCTTATTGTGGAAAAAAAGTTTAACCACTTAAAAAAGTATCAGGGAAAAGCTGGTCTCGTTATTCAATGCTTTAGTACTATTCAACCATTACTACTTGTGAAAATTTCAGCAGGAACTTTGCCTATACTGCTTATCCAATGCTTTGACCACGAGTATACCATTGGTTTTTTGATGCTGACGCCACTGATCACGAATATGATATTCATTTTTAGCCCTGGTGGCATTTAGCGCCAATTTGGCGCCACACCCTTCTTCGCCAAGATTGACGAAAACGTTCATAATAAGGTTGTTTGATGCCCTGATCACAAAGATGGCATTCATTTTCCGATTCAGCGCTCCGCTGAGGCTGACCCTGGTGGGAGTTGAGTCCCGTCAGGCCAGGCTCAGCCTTATCAGGGCTTAGATGGCTATAATTCGTAGCCAAATCTGCCCTTGGAAAAAAAAGTCGGTAATAATCTGGCCTAATTCCAGAGGGTTGGGATAGTAATAGTAGAATAGTCTCAGAGGTTTTTCGCTGGGAATGGACTTGATAAGCTTCACCATAGCTACATAAGTTAATCCAAGCAACAAGTATACTGTGGCATTGGGACGACCGTCAAATCCACACGTGTGTGTCCCAGCATTGAATGCGTTATACTTTCCGATTTCAAAAAAAAGCATGACAATGTATAATGCCTCCACTTTGAGCTCGTTTGTCATAGTGCTTATCGTCGAGATCGGTTTTGAAACCAGTTGTTCACCGTTCGAATGTTTATGAGGTTCCTTCAATTGGGTTTGAACAGCAAAAGGGAAAATAGAAGAAACGCCCTGGGCTGATCGAAAAAGTGTGATGACCGAACAATAATCAGGACAAAGACCTCCCAAAGCGAGCAGTAGAATCGTGAGTGAAACGGCGCGATCGCACGCCGCCCAAGGGGTGGTCCGTACGTGTCTCGTCCTACTCGCGGGTTCCTTGAATTGCAAACCTTTCGTGAAATATGAACATGTCCTCAGTTGGGCCACACTCATCCATCCAGGGCCTAGACCTTTCACCGAGTCCACCTCACTAAAAGAAAACCCGCAACCTTTAGCAAATCTTCACTATAAAAAACACGCCTCGAAGGCGTATTAGTAAAGGTAGTCCTCTGAATAAAATGAACCACAATTTGCTTCACAAGGAACTGTCACTTTCTTTGTCAAAGCAATGAAGAGTAGTTACCTCTTTCAAGCAAAGGCGCAAATACTCAAAACTAATGGAACCGCAATCAGAATGAGTCTAATTTGTTTGAGAGTTCTAGCAGTAGCAATAGTATTTGAAAGCAATAGTATACATGGGTCAAGACAACCAGGTACAGTTGTGGTCCCAACCTTCCAATGTGCGCGTGGGGTAGAGTGTGTAGTGTGCACCTTGCGGCTATACCTTTTTACCGTGCAACGACTCATGACGAATTCTACGTTGTCATCTTCCCGTGTCATCCTCATTTGTTTCCGTTTGGCTTACCCATGAGGGTACGATAGTATGGTGATGAATTACTCGAAAGGGATTCAACTTCTTTTGCATTGGGTAGTAACGATAATGGCGATCAGAGGGCAAATAACGGCTCTTCGCAGCGCCTTTTTTTCAAAACGTTTATCCTTTTTGGCGTGAAGTATCACGGATATTGTCCAGATCGTCATCCGGAAAGGTCGTTTGTTGTCTGGATTAGTCTTTTTCGGAGTTGTTCGCATCACATGTTAGTATACTTATTTTACTGATTGAGTGCTTTATTTGGAGAATAATCAAATAATATTCATTTAAATAATTCCAGATATTGGTTCCAAACATTAATTTTATGGTATGAAGTTTATTGAAGCATGTGATATGAAACTCTCCTGTTCGAGGAAACGGGGTCATTGAGGAAAGACAGGCTAGAGTTTTCGAAATCATCAGCGATGCATGCTGGTTGCTGCTATCGACGCTACTTAAAAGAAATTGTCTCTTTTCGTTCAAAAATGCTTTATCTTCTATTGGGCATGCTAGCAGATGATTGCTACGGGTTGTGGAATATCTTGTTTCTACATATTCTTCGTTCATTTATGTCTTCATCCATTTTATCTCAACCCCTTTCGCTTTTGCGTACTGAACATCATTTGTTCCTTTTTTTATTTGCTCATTATTTTCCTTGTCTCAGACCTAATATGAAGGCGTTAATGGGGAGGATGCGAAGGAGTATAATTCTCGTCATTATATTCATCGAGAACGCGTTTCCAGGTAAAATTCGTAGTTTTGGCTAGGGGTTCTACATCCTTCTATTTCCCTGTGGACTTCTTGAATTCCTTCGTTTGCAAAATTTGACATGAAGGTTGTGTCCCTTCTTCACGGCTGGACAATCAGATGATTCCCCGTGCTTTTGATTCCTCGATTATGCAGTCGGGCGGAGTCAATACGCGTCTCAGGTACACTTCGCGATGATGCGCGTCCAAGCGCTGTAACGCGCTACAATGGCAACAGAGCGCTCCAATCCGATAGAAGCGAGGCAGTCATAGACGGGAATTGATTAGTGCCGCCCTAGCGGCCCGTGCCGATCGATACCAGACTGCGTGATAAGGCAATCGTCCTCCAATTCCCCACACTCTTAATACACAAGCGGTCTGCAGCGGTGCACATCGCGAAGTACGAAACCTCCGTCAGGATATATGTAAGCCGCGGAGTCTCCGTCCTCCTTTCGCCCTGTTTCCTCCTTCGTTCTTTTCCTTTCTTCCTTCCCTATCCCCTCCTCCTTATCCCTGCCTCCCAACCTTCAAGT